TCTCTCTCTCTCTCCACTGCCCACAGACAAAATTGTACGCTTTTAGTAGGCTACAATTGTAATGGAACGTTTGTTCACGGCACAGAATTCTACAATTTTTCTGTTATCACAGTGTAGAATTCTGTGGTTTAGGGTGAACGCGCACCGGGTGAGAATAGCCACAAGACTCGCCTGCACTTTTCTCACTCCGGGTGAGAATAGAGGTGGCCTAGCTCAAAACTACGCTATAGAATCTAGCAACTAAAACTTAGATCTAGTTATCATCTAGACCTAGATCTAAATCTAGATTTAGTGCTGGGCAGAAACCCAGATGAAAATCTGGATATATATCCACTTCAGGAGGACTCGACAGTGGCACTTCCTGTGTCTAGTGACGTCTGGCAGCCATGGCGGAGCTGTACAAACCAGGGGACAAAATCTTCGCCAAAATGAAAGGATATCCGCACTGGCCCGCGCGGGTAAGTACATACACTACAGTGGTTGGGGTGTAGCGGCGTCGATGTTTGTACACGTGGTGTCTGAGAGAGAGAGAGAGAGAGAGAAATGACACTTGTCCAGAGAGATACTTTGCTTGTTCATGAATGTGTGTCTGAGAGAGAGAGAGAGAGAGATGCAACTTGTCTAGAACTAGAGAGAGTAGATTATGCGTCTCAGGTGCTCATCGATTTTCGGCTTTTATGGTGTCATCTTAATAAGCTTGTTTTTTTTGTTGTTGTTTTTTGTTTTGATGAAAGTGTCGATTTTTTGCTGTGTAGTTTAACCACTGGTCTGTGTGTGTTACAATGGCTGGTCTGTGTGTGTGTCAATTTTTCGCCTTGTCGTTTCAGATTGACTACCAACAAGATGGGGCTGTCAAAGCTCCCAAGGGGAAATACCCAATCTTTTTCTACGGGACGCACGAAACGTGAGTGGTCGTTACAACTGATGAATGGTCTTTGTATGTTATAAATTATTTGTAGCCCAGGCGGTTCCTGAGACCGATGGGGCGGGATGGGTGGTTGTATCAGATGTAGAGGCCGCTTTTGTTTGGCTAACATGCTGTACGATAAATCTCTCACGTGTGTGTTGGCGGGGGGGGGGGGTGGATGACTCACTCATATACGGTGTTTCCTGTCACACGCAGGAGACCCAAGTTCGATTCCTGAGGAGGGAGAATTTTTATTTGAGCATCTCGGTCTTTCTGCTGAGATGTTGTATCCCTCTCAGCCTCAAATGACACTGACACTGACAGGCAGGGTTAACAGCCCACCTCCTAAATGATCTAAATTGTGTTGATGGTGGTTTAAAAAACAGAATATGTTTTTAACACAAAGAACATTTTTCTACAATTCCATTCCTTTCCAGAGCGTTGTGTGTGAGTGAAGTGAGCTTGGTTGTACGTGACTCACTGAGCCTCAGGAATGGGATGAATGTATCTCTGTGTTGCTGCTGAATCTTGTGTGTTGATGTTCTGTACTAGGCTAGTAGATGCACCCACAATCTGACGTGTGGATCAATCAAGTTTATCTGGTCTTGTCTAATCACGAATCTTTTATGTGTTAACAAGGATGCCGTTTTTCCATTATTTCCGGCGAGGGGGGGGGGGTTCCGTCATTTTGGGTATTGTATGTTAGGAACTTTGTTTTAGTGGTGAACTGATATGTTGTTTTGTTGCATTTATTGCTTCGTCGTGTTGTTGAACTGATATATGATGGGTTTTTTGTTGCATTTATTGCTTCGTCGCATGCTGAATCTAGTCTCGAAAAAATGTTCAATTATTTGTACAAAAGTCCAGTGGTGGCTTCCCTGTGTTAAGGCCACAGTGTGACAAGTTGTGTGGCTGCTGCGAAGGAGAGAGTGGGAGAGAATCTTCTGTACATTTATGCCTTGATTCTGTTGCTATTTCTCTAAAACTGTGTGTAAAATTTTGCCAAAGTAAAACGTGTCTAATGGCATGTGTCCGCCAGAGCGTTCCTGGGCCCCAAGGACATCTTCCCGTACGAGAAGTACAAGGACAAGTACCACAAGTCCAACAGTCGCACCGCCTTCAACGCCGGGCTCTGGGAGATCATCAACAACCCTGAGGTCGTCTTCCAGCCATTGGTCAGTTGATGGGAGGGGGGGTAAATGGACGGGTCTGTTGATGGGGGGGGTAAATGGAC